CATTATTAAAGGACCTTGCTATACTTTAGTTTTGTGCATTATTATTTGCCCTTGCTTCCACTTTCCATAAAAATCATTAAAAATAAGTGGATTGATGAGGTCCCAGTGTAACCAGCTTGGCCTCTTTAGAGAATTCCTCCCTCATCTGCTCAATAGAAAGTAAATTTGTATGGGACTCTTCTCATTGGTAAAGACTGATTCCTAAATGCTCATTGCTTGTGTGAAAGGCAGACATGGTGAGAGCCTGAGAAAAGAGGGAGATTTGATATGACAGTAAAGCATACTTGTATGAGTCTATTTATCCCTTATATTTGTGTATGTTTTCTACTAATCACTTGCATGCAATTAATAATTAATAAAAATAGGTCAGAGTATCACTGTATCACTGTCCTTCAATTAATCTTTTTTAACATATAATGCTATTTAGCCTATTCCCCCCCAAACTCCCACTTACATTTCTTTTGAATATGATATATTCTTCCAAAGCCATATTCCAGTCATGACCCTTATCCCAAGAAGTTTTAGTGATATTTATGAGGTCAAATTTATCTCCTTTCATTTGGATCCCTAGTTCCCCTTGTTTGTATGCAGACTTTGTACATTTTTGTACATAGACATCTAAAGCCATGGGTTTTATTGCTGGCTCATTTTGGGAGTTTGTCACGCAAAATTGTAATCTCCTGTGAATTACTGAGCACTTCTACTGCCATTCTCCCTGAATTATAGCTACTCTTTGCAATATCTAATTTGATGGAAAACTGGTAGACAGTTTTCCTTCTACTCCTTCCTTTTTAGCATAAAGTCTTTTTGATTGGATTTGCAAGTTTTTGGACAGATTCCTTCTTACTAGTCTATCCTTTAAGGGATTCAAAAATCCAAATCTCATTTTCAGACACCATTTTCTTACACAGAAGTTCACATCTCAATTACTAATTCCTAAGAATTAGAGCTATCTAAAAACTAATGAATTCTCTTGGGAGCTAGTAGGGTCTTCATCATAGAGACATTTAAGTAGAGATTGGATGACCCTTTGTCAGGATTGCTTTAGAGGGAATTCTTATTCAATTAGGGGTTGCACGGTAGGACCATTTCAGCTCTGAGATCCTAGTTATTCTGATTCTGTATAGAGGAATATGATTGTCTCCTTCACTGTAGATACTATACCTTTCTTAATATGGTCAGAAATTAGTTTAGTTTCTGGAGTTGCCATGTTAAACTCAACTAATATTGAGCTTGCTATCTGCTTAGATGTTGCCGGTCAACGTGAATGCACTGAGACTCTGGGGCAAGGTGATGATAAATAAGAGTTGTGCTGGTGAATATTTAACATCTTGCTCTCTCCCCTCTCCCCAATATACATATCACACATTTAAAAACTTAATCTGCATTATTATCATTTTAGTCATCAAAACAATAAATTAAATCCTGATTTGACATTTGCTAATTTCTGAAAATGCTCACATTGAAAATTTAGAAATCGCCTCTCATGAGAGGCAGTTTGATCTGACTCTAGCACTCCCCTACCCTGAAGTTTATATGTGTGTGTATGTGTGCATACGCACACACATGGGACAACAACTAACAAGCAACTAATAAGGTCAAAGTCCATTTTAGGAAACTATAGAATCATGAGTTTTCCATCTATTTCTTGAAAAATTAGAGTACAAGTTACTAAGTAGATAGTTTGGGAGTATTTAGAAAGGGAAGCAATGGTCACTCAGTTAGGAGAGACCTCAGTTTGAATTCTACCTTAGATGCTAGTTATATGACCCTGTTGTGCAAATCACAACTTCACTGTCAATTTTTTCATATAATATATATTTTCATATATAATATTATGTATAATTATATAAATATTATATTATATATAATCAATTATATTAATAATGAACAATAAAATGAAGTAGTTATGTTTCATATATTATATAAAATATATTATATATTTTACATAATATATTTTCATATATATATACACACAATATACAGGAAGTACCTATTTGTCAGAGTTGTTGTGAGGAGCAAATGAGATAATATATGCAAAAGCACTATACATACATTAAAGCACTATGTAAAATATCAGCCATTATTATTATTAGAAAACAGCATGGACACACTAAGAACAAGCCATGCCGAACTATTCCCATTTCTTTGGTAGTATTATTTGAATGGTAGATGAGGGAAAATGCCACCGATACAATGTATTTGGTTTTCAGCAAGGCATTTGACAATATCCCATAATATTCCCATGCACAAAATGGACAAATGTGAGTTGAAGGGTAATATAATTAAGTCACTTGATGTCTATTTGTAGGATCTTACCCAAAGAACATTATCAATCTAGAGGAACACTAGGGGAATGTCACACACAGTACTATATTCTATCCTTAGCCAAGTCCTATTTGACAATTTTTCAATGACTTGGATGCATACATAGAAACTATACATATCATATTTATAGATGACACAAAACTGAGACTAGCTAATATGCCTTGGATGCTCATTGCATCCATCTGTCATATAAAGAATTCAATGGTTTGGAACGACCTAGAATAACTAAGATGAAATTTAAGAGGGACAAATGCAGATAGCTGTACTTAGTTTTGTTTTTTCCCTTCCTTTTAGAAGCAACTGCAGAAATGTTAGATGGATAAAACTTGATTAACAGTAGTCTAACTGAAAAATACCTAGGGAGTTTATTTGACTAACCCCTCTAGGAAGTTTTGTATGACTACAAAGAAAAGGTAGTTCTATGTTGTTCTACATTAATAGATATCTAGCATTTAGAAGAAAGGATGTGGCAGTTACAGGGTACTTTGAACTGATTGGATCACATCTTGGCTCAACATTGAAGAATGACTTTGTAGGGGCTTTTGAATGAATGAATGGATGAAATTGGAGCATATCCATAAGAAGGTGACTAGAGTGGTGAGGTACAGGGTAGGGGGTGGCCTGGAAACTGCTTATTATGAAGAATAAAGAAACTAAAGGTGTTTACATAGGGTAAGATTTAGAGGAGAAATAATAGTGATCACCTAGAAGAATGATTAGAATTATTATTTAGCTAGGTGGCTCAATGAATAGAGCACTGGCCATAAAATCAGTAAGACCTGAGATTAAATCTGGCCTCAGATACTTATTAACTCTGTGAGTCTGGGCAAGTCACTTAGCCTCAGTCTCCTTATCTGTAAAATGGAGATAATAATAGCAGGGTTGTTGTGAGGCTAAAATTTGTAAAGTGCTTTGCAAACCTTAGAGCATGATATAAATGCAAGTTATCGTCATCATCATCATCATCACTTCTGTATAACTCTAAGCGGCAGAACTGTGACTGATCAGTGATAGTTATAAGAGACTCAGCTTCTGGCTATAAAATTATAGCTGTCCAAAAATGCAGTGATTTCATTCAACAAACATTTGTTAAGTGCCTACTATGTACCTAGTGCTAGGTTTGGTATTATAGAGCTAGAGTCAAAAGGGGTCTTAGATCTCATTTCTCAGACATTTAGAGAACTGAGTCAAATTTATAAAAATGAGTCCAGTTGATAAATGATCAAAAGATATGGTCAGTTTTCAGATGAAGTAATCAAGTTATCTATAGTGATATGAAAAAAAATATTCTTAACTCACTATTAAGTGGAGAAATGTAAATTAAAACAATTCTGAAGTATTGCCTCATACCTATTAGATTGGCTAATAGGACAGAAAAGGTAAATGACTAATGTTGAAGGGGATGTGAGAAAAATGAAATTTTAATTCCCTGTGACCTAGCAATACCACTACTTGATCTGTATCCCAAAAGAGATTAAAAAAAAACAAAAAGGAAAAGAACTATATGTACAAAACTATTTATAGCAGCTCTTTTCTGGGGGCAAAGAATAGGAAATTTAGGGGATGCCCATCAATTGGGGAATGGCTGAACAAATTGTGGTATGTGATTATGGTGGAATACTATTGTACTAAAAGAAATGATGAGCAGGACACTTTCAGAGAAACCTGGAAAGACTTTCATGGGCTGATGCAAAGTGAAATGTATTGTGTACAAATTTAACAGCAATATTGTAAGATGATCAGCTGTGAATAAATTAGCTATTCTCAGCAATACAACGATCCAAGACAACTCTGAAGGACTTATGATGAAAAATACTATCCATCCCTAGAGAAAGAACTGATGGTGCCTGAATACAAATTGAAGCATACTTTTTTTTTAACTTTATTTTTCTTGAGTTTTTTTGTCTATGTTTTCTTTCACAACATGACTATTATGGATATGTTTTGCATGGCTACACATGTATAACCTATATCAAATTGCTTGCCTTCTCAATGGGGGGGGTGGGAAGAGAAAAAGGGAGAGAATTTGGAACTCAAACTTTTAAAAATGAATGTTAAAAATTGTTTTTACATGTAACTAGGGAAAAATAAAATGCTAAAAAATAAATAAAAGGGGCATTAGACATCTAGTTTAATCTTCTTATTTTACAGAAGCTGGAGCTCAGAGAGATGAAATAACTTGGCCAAGGATGCTCAAGTAATAAGTGGTGGGGCCAGGATTTCAACTCGGGTTCTCTGACTCCACGTTCAGTCCCCATTTGCACTGAACTTATTGATGGGCAATCAGTGCCCTCCTAACTGGAAATTTTCAAGAAGAGAATGGATGGCTACCTCCCAGTGATACTGTAGAGGGAATTCTTGCATGGAGTGGTAGATTGAACTCGATCACCTCTTCAGTGCTCTCAGTTCTAAGATTTGATGATTATCTGAGATGTGGAACATACTGAAGACAAACTGCTAACTTCTCAATTCTGACCTCTGACCTCAGCCTCCAACTAATTTTTATTTTCTGCAGCTAATGTCAAAGTTGGTGATGATATAAGAATTGGAGTGAAATTTAGTTTTCATATTTTGGGTGGGACTTATAGTAACAAAACACACTGTGAATCTATGAGTAATACCTTACACTTGTATGTGTTTTTTTTTTCTTTGCATGAATGTATGAAATTCAGTCAGCAATCACACCTACCACTTCTGGAGAAGAAAACAGAAAGAATTTTAAAACCTTAGAGAAGAAGATCTCTGCAGTTTGGGACAAAGAGGGAAGAAGCAGTGTATTAATCTATCAACTAACAACAACAATTATGATCTTTGTGCCTTGCATCGATATAATACTTCTACATGTTAAACTCTTTCACATCTGGGATCTCACTTCATCTTCGCAACAACCCTGTGCAGAATGAAAGGCAAATGTTATTATCCCCATTATATGAGGTGTAATGTGACTGAAGTTTTAAAAAATCCCATAACTTTACAGAATCATGAAACCTCAAATTTGGAAGGTACCTCAGAGGCCGTTGACTCCAACCCATGCTCAAACAGGAATCACCTTTACAACATCCCCGAGAAATGGTTCGTCAGTCTTGGCTCAAAGGCCTCCAGTGATGGAGAATCCACTCACTACATTCTGAAGGAGTTTATGCCATTTGGGGGTAACTCTAATTATTTAGAAGTTTTTCCCTGTATTGGGCCAAAAATCTCCCTCTCTGTAACTTTGACCCATTTTTACCAGTCCTCTGGTGCTAGTTAGAAGTAATTTAATCTCTCTTCCACATGACACCAATTCAAATAAAGGCAGCCATTATTTTTTTCCTTCCTCCTATCCTCACAGTCTTCTATTTGCTAGGCTAAACATGCTGATTTGCTTCAAACAGTCCTCACATTGCTCTGGCCAGTTCCCTAACCTTCCTAGGTACTATCATCTGGGCCCATTCCAGTGTACCAATAGTCCTTATCTAATTGTGGAATCAAAAACGGAATTCAATACTCTAGCTATAATCTGACCAGGGCAGAATACAGTAAAACTCTTATCTCTTTGATTCTAAATGTTGCAATTCTATTTAAACAGTCTAAGATTGTGTCAGTTCTCTTGGATACCACTTCACACCATTGGGTCACATCCAAGTAACGGTTCACATTTATACAATGTGAACAAATACAGAGTACTTTACTCACAACATTCCTATGATTGCAATGTCAAATATTATTACTTCCATCTTACAGATACTACAACTGAGTCCTGGAGAAGATAAGTATCTTGGTAAGGACACACAGGAAGCAAGTGTTGGAGTCAGAACTTAAAACTCATCTGGTACTAAGCGGAATATTCTTTTACACTGTAAATCTTCCCTTCAAAGTAGTCATTGTAGAAAGATATATCCTTCTTTCAAATATACTGCGAGCAATCAGAACTTTTTTGAAATTGGCTTTAGAACCTAGAGTACATGCTTTTTAATTGCTCAGTGGTGGTAAATCTTTGAAATTAGATTTGATTAGATTAGATGAAATTAGATGAAATCCTTTGAAATTAGATTTGATTTTTGGAGGTTATTCAGAGCTGAATTGGGTAAACATGGTGCATAAGCAAGCTGAGGAACATAATTTTTTGGTCCAAAATGTGGTGTGATAATAAAACAATAGAACATGGCTTATAAACTGATTTATACAGATAGACTGAGAATCTTCCTTATCTAAGACCTCAGAATCAGGTAATGGTGATTCCATCAGGATTAGAAGCTGCCTTCTGACTCTTACATTGAATTTTTTTCCCTAATATATTGGTTAACATTTTCATGTGATTATATATTCTAATGCCACCTCTATTTTAAATTTAGAATCAAGATTCTTTCTTTGAAAAGGCCAGAGTTGATGGTTGACTCCATTGTTTGAGTTGACAAAAGGAATGATCAAAACTGCAGGGTTGGTGTTGGGAAACTGGCTCTGAGTACCCTGATTCTACTTGAGTCTGGACTAGGAAATAATAATGGAATCATGGAGAGTTAGAGCTAAGTGGGACTTGAGAAGTTGTCTAGTTTAACTTCTTTATTGGTTGATGATACTTGATCTTGGAAGTTTGAGTCACCAGGAGGGACAATTCAGTGAAGAGAATTAGATTTGGTCCTTCTAGGGTTCAGAGTGTTGCCCAAAGCTTGGAACTTGGTATTGGGTTACATTTAGGCGAGATCGGCTTCTTGGTTCAAAGCTAATTGGAGCTGAGGTAATGCTTCCTAAAGAAGGCTGATGAGTTAAGTGGCCATGAATCTGAAACATGTGCTTGATATTTCCCCTTGAGCTCCTTTTTGCTTTGCTGGCAATCAAGTCAGAAAGCAAGTTGGGGAGCTACTTTCTCTGCTGAGCCCCAAGTACTCTAAAAAGCATCTGAGACATTTGACAGCTGGGGAGCCGCCCAATTCTCCCAAGAAATGAACTTGGCTTAGGCCAGGGTACCCGGAACAGGGATGGGGAGCTGTGAAGTGTCAGGGAGGGGTTAGGTTCTCTGGATGCAAATGACCAGCCTCAGCACATTCCAAGAGAGAAAGGGGAAAAAAAATAATAAAATGCATGACGCTATGTTAAAAGAAGGCACAAGCCCAACAAACCCCCCCCCCCAACCCCCTGCTTAATACAGGAAATATCTCCAACATTTCAGCTAATCCTCCACCAATACAATGAGAAATGAGGTCCTCCAGCAGCCAAGCGATTATTAAGTAAGGACGAAAAATACTCCACCGCCCATAGCAACAGAGCCAAAGATAACAACAGGGAACATAGAAGCTACAGACAAATGGAAGATACAAAACAGCCAGCTTCTTGAACCATACCCTCCCCCACTCCCCCTAAAGAAACTGACCTGCAAGCAGAGTGAGGGCCTCCATTTCATTCAGGCTCAGAGAGCTAATGTAGCTCCCTGGCAGCTTGCGGGCTGAGGGCCCAAGTCCTGTTCAATCACTGACAGGATTGTGTAACCTTAGCCAGGCTAAAATTCACGAAATAGACTAAGAACTCTAGAAGAAAAGGGTTGAAAGTTTTGGTATTCTATTTGTTGGTTTGGGAGAGAGAGGTCAAAGAAAAGAAAGGTAGCCTCCCTAGTCACAAGGATAGAGTCTAGAGAGATCTATGTGAACAGAGAAATCTGTAAATACCATATTGTGCTGACAGTAAAGACCTATGGGCAAAAGGGAATTTGTTATCCCATACAAAATGCTTCCAACAGCTGTCCCAGTTTCTAGCTAAAACAGCAACCTTCCAGGCTTTTTCAGATTTCTTCTGATTATACAAGATGAGAGACTTGATGGTAAGCCTTTCCTTAACAAGTTGTAATTTCTGATTATTTTCCCTCCGAGATCCTAATTTCTCTCTTAAGAAGAGCCTCTTTAAGCAGCAACAGAAGTGAAAGAGAAGTGCAGCCTAGAGAGAGGGTATCCTTGGGAAAAAGGAAACAGCTGGACATATGGTGAAGGGGGAGGACACCACAATAATACTTAAGGAAAGTATGCCCTTTGGAGATTATCCTATTCATAGAATCACAGAAATTTAGATTTGGAAGGAACTTCCTTTTTAAGATGAGGAAAGTAAAGCTTTAGGACTATAGCACAGTGGGAAGAGCAATGGATTTGGAGTCAAAAGGACCCTCTGTTCCAATTCTGCCTCTGATACCAACATTCAGTACCTGACCTTAGACAAATTGCTTCATCTCCCTGGTCTCAGTTTCCTCATTTCTGAAGTGAAGAAGTGGGATTGGACCACTGATTCCAAACCTTTTCTAATAGCCTCTGAGGATGATCTTCACATGAAAAAATGTCACTCCCCCATTATAATAATTTTATTGGTATCTATTGATTGAGAAAGCATATGATGGCAGACCTGGCCACATAGTAAGTGCATAATAAATCCTTTTTGACCGACAAAGAGTTATCACCAATCCAGCAACATTTTAAAATGAGTTTCTCTTTTGTTAAACACAACAGCATCTATATACATTTGAAAATTAGTAATATTCATGAGTGCAAGACATTGTTGAATCAGTCTACTGAAGATATGTTTGCTGATTTATTAGGCTGAAGCACAATGCATATTTTGGTGAATCTAAGTAAAGATCAAAATTAAAATGCTTGGTGTATACGTGAATTTGTGATGTCCTTGCAATGACTTCATCCCACACCCCTTCCACCGCAGGGGTCTACAGCCAGAAGTCAGGAACCACTGAACTAGATTATTTCTAAGGTCATTTCCAGTTTTAGATCCCATCATTCTAAGAGAATTTCTCAAGGTTACTTAGTAAGTTTAGAGACAGAGTTGGGACCAAAATCCATGTTTTCTGACTCCCTTTTAGTCTATTTTCCATTACATAACATATCCCTTTGGATTTTGGCATGACCAATCTCTATCAAAACTGGACAATTTTCTTGAAGAGATATTTAGGAAAGGAAGTTAAAACCTTAATGCTTCAGTAGTCTGTCTCAATAGCTTTAACCATACATAAAAATCAGCACAGTTTTCTTGCCATTTTTTTAAATCAGCAAGCCACTAAAATGCTATATGCCTGCAAAATTTCTATTGGACGCACCCACATTTTCAAAAGGAAACCCTGCTATATCTCATCCCATCCTCACCTTTTTCTCCACCTCCTCTAAAAACCACAACCATCTGCAAACATGCTCAGGCTGCATCTATTAGATGTCAAAACAACAAGTTGGGAAAAGAAAACATCCAATCAACTGATTATGTTGCCAAACACTTTCCCCATCCCCCACCCTTGTGAATTAAGCAGCTATTTTGGCATATATTATAGATGAACTGCTTGAACTTCTTTCTAGAGGAATTCCTAGAAATGATGAATAGAAAAAGGAAAAGAAATGAGGAATAGGATATTCAACTTCTACACATTGCCTGATTTCTATTGGATCCATTAGTTCATTTCTTTAAGGATTTGTTTTAAATCTTTAAGCTTTCTCTTTACATCTCAATATTTTATCAATCATATTTTACACTTAAATACAACTTTAAGATGAATGAAATAATTTCACAGAGTCATAGAATCTCAGAGTTGAAAGATCCCTCAGTGGCCATTGACTCCAATTCATACCTGAAAAAAAATTCCTACTATCGCACACAAGACAAGTAGTTAGCCATTGCTTGAAGACCTCCATTGGGTTGGGGATCTACTATCTCTGAAGTTCACCAGTTTTACTTTTGGACAGCTCTTATTATTGGGAGGTTTTTCCTTATAATAAAACTTCCACTAGACTCTTTGCAACTTTCTTTCATTGCTCCTAGTTCTAACCTCTATAGTCAGAGACAAGTGTGATTCCTCTTTCACGTAACCTTTCTCAAAGATAGTTATCATGTTCACTCCTCTAATCTTCTTTCCTTCAGGTTAAACACACCCAAGTTTCTTCAACTGAACTTGATATGTCATGGTCTTTAGTTCCTTCCATTCCTTCCTATTCTGCTTGCCCTTTTCTGGACAGTTTCCAGCTCAGTGTCCCTCCTCAAATGTTATATTCCAAGATAAACACCATATTTCAGCTATGGTCCAACTAGGGCAGAGTACAGTAGGACTGTCTCCTTATTTTGGGAATCTATGCCTCTCAATTCAGCCCAAGATGGTAGCTTTTTAGGCTGCCATATTACATTGTTGACTTACACAACTCCTAGATCTTTTTCAGACCACTCTTTATCTATCTAATCTACTTATCTATCCAACCATATGTTTCC